CCCACTTCCCCCCAACCCAACCCGCGGACACCGCAGCCCAACAACCCAACCCGGCACCCAATACTCACCCAATGCAAACCCGCTCCAAAGCCGGTGTCTTTTGTCCCAAACACATTCTCAATCTTAACACCTCCGTCACCATCTCCCCTTTACCTCCAACCTACCGTAGTGCACTAAAAGATCCAAACTGGCATGCTGCTATGTGTGATGAATATAATGCCTTGATAAAGAATGACACATGGGAATTAGTACCCCCTCCCCCTCACAAAACCTTATCACCGGTAAATGGCTCTTTAGACACAAATTTGGCCTAACCGGTGAGTTATCTAGGTACAAGGCCCGCTGGGTGGTTCGCGGTTTCAACCAACGTTTTGGCGTTGATTATGACGAGACTTTCAGCCCCGTTGTCAAGCCTGCCATTGTCCGTGTTGTCCTCAGTCTTGCTCTGTCTCGAGGTTGGCCCATTCATTAGCTTGATGTCAAGAATGCGTTCCTTCATGGCCAGCTGCAGGAGACCGTCTATGCTTGTCAGCCTTCTGGGTTTCAGGATCCCACTCGCCCTCACTATGTGTGCAAGCTCAAGAAGGCTCTATATGGTCTCAAGCAAGCACCCCAATCATGGTTTCACAGGTTTGCTGGCTTCATACAGACTATTGGGTTTAGAGGATGTAAGGCCGACACTTCTCTATTTGTCTTCTCTCAGCCCATGGGCACGGCCTATCTACTACTTTATGTGGATGATATAGTTCTCACAGCATCCTCTCCAGCACTACTACAGAGTCTCATTCAGTAGCTCAAGGCTGAATTCTCCATGACAGATATGGGCGATCTGCACTTTTTCCTTGGGATCAATGTTCACCGCACAGCTTTTGGCCTCTTCCTCCACTAGACTCAGTTCACGCACGACATCCTTGAGAGGGCAGGGATGGTTTCTTGTCGGCCCATCTCAACCCCGGTGGATACAAAGGCGAAGGTGTCTGCGTCAGCTGGCACGACGCTGTCCGACCCCTCCCTTTACCGATCCATTGTTGGCACGCTGCAGTACCCCACATTCACTCGTCCTGACATCACATATGCAGTCCAGCAGCTCTGCCTACACCTCCATGCCCCGCACAATGCCCACTTTACAGCCATGAAGCGTGTTCTCCGGTATCTCAGTGGCACCGCCACTCATGGCATTTACTTGACAAGATCCGCCACCGACTACCTACAGGCTTATTCAGACGCTGATTGGGCTGGCTGTCCTAATACAAGACGTTCTACTTCGGGCTACTGCGTTTTCCTCGGCGACAACCTTGTCTCATGGTCGTCTAAGCGCCAGGCCACTACTTCTTGCTCCAGCGCCGAGGCGGAATACCGGGCTGTAGCGAATGCTGTTGCTAAACCAGCTGGATCTGAAATCTTCTCCTTGAGCTCCAGCAACCACTCCGTCGCGCCACACTTGTCTTTTGTGATAATGTCAGTGCGGTCTACCTTTCGTCAAACCCGGTGCAGCATCAGCGCACCAAGCACGTCGAGGTTGACATACACTTTGTGCGTGATAAGGTGGCGCTCGGTCAGATCAAAGTCCTGCATGTTCCGTCATCTTTCTCAGTTTGCTGATATCTTCACAAAGGGACTGTCCTCACTCTTATTTCTTGACTTCAGAGAAAGCCTGGCATCCGACCCCCAGCACTGCCGACGTAGCCGGGAGCATGTTAAATATATATAATATATTTAATATTATTGTATTATTATTGTTACCATATTTGTATAGGTTTCCTAGATTGTCTCTCCAACCATAATTAGGATTGAGACTTTTGTATATATACATGTACTCTCCTCACAATTTAATTAAGGAAAATAATTCTTCTTCATTAAATTTACTTTTTATTACTCTGGCATTAAAACTAAATTAAACTTATTCAAAAAAATGAACACGTATTTCCATAAATATTTATATTATTTCCTAAATTATTAACTATTTACTAATTTAATTAGTAAATCCCGTGTATACCCTTTAAATTATATATGATTCAATAAGTAAAAAATTACTCTTTGTGGAATACATGAAATAAGTCTGTTAGAATAGACGAATATGCAATATATATAAGGTGAAAAGTAACTTAATTTTTTTCTAACATGTAAAGAAATATGTCTTACATTGCTCATGCTTTTTAGTTCATGAATGGAGACTACTTTCAAGTTGCTAGTGATCTTTTATCATCTCTTAATCTTGATTGTGTTGAGACGATACTACAACTCTGGGTTAAATGATAACCACTTGACATTAACATGCATGATTACAATTGTTATAAATTTAAACAACACGTTGATTATATTTTTAGAAACGAAAAATCTTTAAGAATACATTTGGACATACTTTTCTCTCCAAGCTTTAACTTCATCACACTCATCGTTGAGTAAAACCTTGCTCACAGAGTAAAATGTTGTAACAGACACTTGCTCTAAATGATTTGAAAACAAATACTCCCTCCGTCCCAGAGTATTTGTCCACTTTCATTTTTACACACCATCCAATCCACTTTTTTAATCCATTTTATCTTGTAATTTGTATATTAAAAAATTATAGAAATTATATATTAATAATCTATTTGTTAAGACAAATCAAACAAGATCACACATGACTATATTTAGGCTTACACGTTGAGAGAATTTGATGAGTCAAAGTGCTTAGATAAACAGTTCCAAAAGTCAAAAGTGGACAAATATAGCAGGACGGAGGTAGTATACAATTAGAATTAATTCATTGGGTACATGTCTTTCAAAATTAATTTGAATTAATTTATGGATATACCATTGTAGAACTTAGGTTTCACCATTTGCAACACCAAAATTGGAAGGGTCGATTCCGATGCACTCAATCCATCAATGAAAACATTGACGTGATTTCTCCATAACGTACAATTCAACCGAACGCCACTACAAAAAAAAGTTAATATTATTTTTAAATCTAATATATGTCGAAATATTTTAGTAATTAGTTAATAAAATAACGTATCATGTAATTGAATTATTTAGTAATTTTTTCAATCTATAATATTTTTTTATTAAAATGAATTCGGTTTTTAAAAAGTCACTTACTTGTGGTCCTCCAAGATAACTTCCATCATTTGCTCTGGGGCATTATTAACCATACGGGTTTCGGGCGTAGTTCGACTAACTACTTTCCCGATTATATCTGAAAATCCATAAAAATACTATTTTATAAATTTCATAATCATAATATATGAAATGTATTTTATATGTGTAAGTATTTAAGTTATGTAAATGTAAATGACTCTTACCAACTAAAAAGACTTGGTCAACAAACTTTGTTTTGAGTACATCTTCAAAACTCTTAAAGTAGAATCGAAAATTAGGAAATCCATTTTCCGATAGTTTTTGAATCTTGATCCTTCCCAAAAAATGGAGCACGCAAGGGTGATTGGTAGTTTTTGTGCCTTGGAAATTGTGTATAACCTTGACCCTCATGATTAAGTAAACCGCATTTTCTTGCAAAGCTTGTTTGAATGTGCTTATATTAGTATCTTTGATCTGAGCATGGATCTGATCGCCCTAACAACAAATATAAAACGTTAATCTATAATTAAATTTATATTTTTTGTTTAAAGATTTATTATAAGTAAAATATAAAACAATGTAGAACTAACCTCTGAGTCGTGGAAAACATTATCCAATGATTCCGGCCCTCGAGAATGAGCAGGGACGTGGTAAACTCTAATCGCTCGTAGCTTCATCATCAACAATCCGGAATATTCATGAACATTTTTTAAGGCGGTAATCATTCCCATGTTCATACAAAAACGATGGTGGAGTACCGATTAATTAAAACTCTCGTTTCCTGGACACTCGTTCACTTTTCTGGCCCGGTAAGGTAGCGTATTTATACTACATGAATTTATGAATTTCGGTGTTCCTTTTTTATTACCATTTTGGCATACGTTTTAAAAATGTACACGGTTATATTAAATTACCATTCGCATAATTCCTTTTTTATATACGTTTTTAATAGTTTATTTCCAAGTTTTTACAGGTTATGTTCAAAGTGCCAGTATAAACTTCAAACATATTTTTTAGTTACCTTTTTTTTATATACGTTTTTAGTTACCTTTTATTACCATTCGTATAAAATGGTTAAATTACTACTTTAAATTACTTACCATTTTAGTTGAGTAATTACTCAATTACGGTAACTCCATTAATGACCCGTGCATGAATTTTATCATTAAAAATACATGTATATATTACCATTTTTAAATGTAATAATTTAGTAGATATTATTACATATATATAAATTAGTGAATATAATTAAATACAATTACCATTTGTATAAATTAACATAATACGAAAATAATATAGATATTTTATTAGACTTAGTTTATTATGGTAATTACATTTTTAATTACCTTTTGTGATATACGTTAATTTTTTAATTACCATTTTTAAATGAAATAAGTCATTAGATATTATTACATATATATTAGTAAATGTAATTATGTTTGAATATTATTACCGTAATATTTCATTTTTACCGTAATATTATATTCACGGAAATATTAATTGAGTAATTACTCAATTACGGTAACTCCATTAATGATCCGTTTAATTACCATTGAGTGATTACCATATGGAGTGAACAATTACCATTTTCTCTAGAACACCAAATGGACAGGAAAAGAGAAATGAGAATCTATGAGACTATGACTTTTTAAATAATGTATAGATGTATAGTTGTTTATATAAAACAAATTAAAAATAATTTTAATCAAACATCATAAGCCAAAACGAATAATTTAAATTGGGACTAAGAAATAGTATAAGCCCAGCCTTCTTTATTACATGCAAGACACACAAACACACCAAATCACTCATTGTGCTAAATGGGAGAATATGATATAAAAAACACACTAATACATTCAATAACTCTATTCTGAGAGTAATGAGTAAATATGACTGTCATACTCTTACAAGGCTTTTTTTTTCAAACGAGAGGGACGATAAAAATGTGGTAAAAATACAACTTACAAACAAGACTTCTACAGGACAGAAGTTGAGATTAGGATAAGGTACACACTTTTCACTCAACAAGCATAAATATAATGGTGATTTTCAAATCAAGGGAAGCACATATATGCATTTTGCGCATTCGCTTCGCCCAAGGGATGTGAGTAGGACTGGAAGGAAGTTAGTGGCAAATGGTCATTTTTTAAATCAAACGTTACGACCCCGACACACTTTGCACATTTATCTTGTAATAAATGTACAATAAAAAAAGAAAGAAAAGAATAGGTATTAGCTGGTTCAAGACTAAAAAGGGTGTGTTCAATGGTTTTCATGTAAGGCAGTTGAGATCCACTCGGAAGCAGCTGATCTTATATCCTCATGTTCGTGCATTGGCAAACATATCGGAGTGACTGCAACCTGCAAAAATTGGATACATTAACCGGTTGAGAATCTATATGGTTATTTTAAAAGTATTAAAACATAACGTCTAGTCTCAGCAATGAAGAACAAAAAAAGTGATGGCAGAGGAGAATATAAACACTTACAAATCCATTATTGAGTGCTCGGAAATCTAAATCCTCATCCTCTTCTTCCTGCTTCTTCTCAAGTAACTGCACCCTCAAAAAAAAACCCTTTTAATCCTATATTTAGTACGGAGTATATTATACTGGTAACAAAAAAGTGAAAGTAAAGTTGAAGAATGTGATGACTATTGGGACAAAGTGGCAAAAATTGTTAATAGAATTTAATAGCATATTATAGACAAAAGCAAAGAGAGGGGTATATCATTTCCACCCCACCCCAAAGGAAAACCCCTTATTTTCCCCCCATAAATATTTCTTATGCTACTATTTGTTGAGGAGGATGTTATGTATTGATTCCTGATGCAAAAAAAGGAGGTAATTCTAATTCGCAAAGAACCATTCTATCAAAAAAGTTGTGTGTTGTGCAACAAAATTAACCTCACCTCCAATCTGAAGTACTTTACTGTTCGATTGGGATCGGACTTTCCAGCGACGCCAACTGACTCAACAACCTCTATATTCTTCTTCTGTGTAGTGAAACGGCGTGCAGCACCCTGGTAAAAAATGAAAGGAAAAAAAACCGTTTAATGGCTCAAGTTATAGAAAGAGATATTGCAACTGCCAAGGCCAACAAATGCGGGAGAAATAACCTCCTAGTGAACTACTACACACCCAAGCACTTCAACCATACTGCTAAAAATGATGCCAATTCCCAATTCCATTCAAACGATACTACAACTAAAAACGGACAGGAGTCGTATGTGCAGCATTGTGTCCCCTCATCATCAATGTATGCTATTCACTGTTTATCTTTTAAAAAAGTGCAATAAATAGGGAAATTAAAAATTAATATTTCTACATACAGCAGCAGATGCATCTCGGCTAAGCTGAGCAAGTTGAAAGCCAAGACTTTGCTGGTTAGAGAGAAACCGTGATGCAGCAACGTTCCTGTTAGCTGGAATAGCATTCCAGCTAAGGGTAGATCTCCAAAGGCTTGGCTTGGTTAATTTGAATCCCTGAAAAAAAAAAGGGTTATAACAATATGAAGGGCATTGCCCGTACTGAATTAAGCAAGTAATGGCCCACTTTCAGGCATGTCAAAAGCAAACCTTGTTTGTCAGCGGAGTAGTTGGGACTTCCAAATTGAGCAAACAGCATTTGAGGAAAACACCCTTCTCTATATCCCTAATAGCCGCAGTAATAAAAGGCAAACAAACACTTGCAGCACCACAGAAATCACTCTCCTGGCTTTCATTGGTCTTCCTAGAAGAGTATAACCAAACGATACTAGATTACCAAGTGTCATCATGGCAGAATAGCAATAAAGGGACAATAACATACCAGTTCAAAGATATTGATATGGATGGAACACCATCAAGCAATGCCTCCCTTGCTCCTGCTATAACACCCGAATAAAACCTAGAGATAGCAAAGCAATTTGCATTAAAGAAAGTGACAGTGCAAAAGAGAAACAGGTATTAAAACCCCAACGAGTAGATAGCCAATCCATTTGCAAATTCATGTCAATGACATTTTTAAGGCATACATATAACTTCATTTCAGTCCAGCAGTATACATATACGGAATCACTGGCCAATAAAACAGAGTACAGCTTACATGTGATTGCCACAGCTTGAACCCCTGTTGATTCCACTAATTACCTGCATACACGAGTTTGGGAGCAGGTGAGGGCAGCAGGAGAAAATAGGATTATAGGATAACCAGACTTTACATCAGTAGTGGAGGATAGTACAATCCCCAAATATTATGTTTTTCTCTTTCATGCAAAAATAACATGAGAATAACTCACCAATAGAGGCTTTGACCAGGAAAATAGAGCACCGGATAACGCCAAAGAGACACAGTCCACAGGAGTCCCTACATCACATTTAAAATCACAAATTTGTATTGTTAAAAACAGTATAAGAAAGTTCTTGACATATAAGAAGATGCCCATTCACACAAAACTTCGGTGCTTGCGCGAAATGAAGACATGCTGATGCACAATTATTCATGTACGAAAATAAGCACCGGTCTAAGAGAATTAAAAAAACCAATAACAGGAAAAAACAAGTGTCCTCTTACCAGAAACTTCATAAGCAGTTGCACCTTGAATATCAACTGCAGTTACTGCAACAGTGTCTCTCAGTGTAACAGAATGGCCAGCTACAGATTTATCTCTACCAAACGATCCAAACAAAAGCATAATTATGAAATGGCACAAACATCAAAAAAGTGCCAAGCATCTGGGTAAAAAAATCACACAACTCAGCCATGACATCCAAATCAAACCTTTATCCATAACTAGTCAAGAACATAAAACATATTATTAGACTAGAGGGAACATATCACCCTAATAAATCATTTAGATATGGCTAATCAAGGGGAGATATGCATTGGGAGCAGAACTCAATAAAATTCCCGATTAATCTATACCAAACAAGCAGAAGCTCTTACTACACAAAACCATAAAATACTACGTAGTACTATGTAAAATGACATTTTAAAAGCACAAAATTTTCTTATGACCATAGAGTTCATATAAGTCTAAGTCTCAAGTAAGCAACAAATAACTCTCTCTTTATAACATATTTTTTTAGAATGATACGGAGGGTAGTATATGAATATGCATCAACGGTTGAGGAGAGGACTCACGATTGAGGAGCCAGAACATGGACATTGTAGAGGCCCAGCTGAACCAGAGCATCCACGAGAGAGGTAAGGCCAGGCGACTCAATCCCATCGGCATTGGTGACGAGGACAATAGGCTTCGAGCTGTCGAGATCGGCAGCTGCACCGCCGGAATTCGAACTAGAAGATGATGGCGCCGGCGAATCATCCTTGTCGGACTTATGTTGTCCTTCTCCGGTGGCGGCACCTACCTTACGGCGGAGAAGCACCTGTTCGAGATTGGAGACTAGGCCGGAAGGCATTAAACCGTTCTTCAAGGCAGATGTGGTCATTTCCAAAGAGAGAAATGCGGTGGTGCAGATGAAAAAAAAAAGAGGAAATTGAAAGGAGGAGGCAGGATCGGAGATGGAGAAGAATTCAAAAATCAAAACCCTAATAAAGAGATAAAAGATAGAAGAAAAGGAGAGCAATAAAGCGCTGGGAAAGAAAAGGAAGATGATGACCGGTTCAAACGGCGATTGTCTGCAGATTGTTGTTGAGAGAGAAAGGAGATTAGAAGTTTCTCATGGCGGAGATTGAGTAATGTTTTAACTATTAAACTATTAACTATTTGAATTAGATAGGACTTAGAGTACAAGTAAATGCTACACTTATTACTCCCTCTGTCCTAAAACTTTCTTCCCAAAACACTATTCCAACTTCATGGGAATTTATATTTATTTGTGTTTTTTCATAGCCTATATGATAAAATAAAATATTCTTGTCACCACTTGTTTTGTTAAACTTTTGATGTAATTTTTAAATATGTATGTTTTATTTTTTACTCCGTATTTCTATACCAATATTTAAATAAAATAGATTGAAAAAACTTGGGATTTTTCTTCGTTTTGCGCAACGGGAAGAAAAATATAGAACGGAGGGAGTAATTTTTAGTACTAATAACTCTATGACAATTATAATTTTTGTTAATGGATTATTAACTTTTTTCATTTACGAAACAATAAAGATTAGTGAAAAATAATTACATTGTGATTTGAATTTGATTTTAGAGTAATGGATTAGATATAAGTTATTGCATTTTAGGTTTTAATTTAGTTTAGGTAGTTGGGAATTAGAATTCATTTGAAATCTTAGTTTTCAATTCCAACATTTGAAATTCACAATGCTCTTTGGAAAGTCATAAAATTTCAATTTTAGAATTTCAATTTTGAAGTCGGCAAAGAGGGTAAAGGAAGTAAGTTTATATGTATGGAATTGTTATTATATAAGAGAAGATCATTTTTTAATTACAAGTTTTAAATTAAAGAAAAATTAAGTTTGAATTTGTAAATGACATGGGGAGGGATATGCGTTTGTAGTTGAGTTAATTTTGAATTAGAAGAATTTGGTTCAAATCCAAATCAAATTCTTTGAATTTCCAAATAAGTAATTTATATCAAATCTAGATTTGTAATCCAATTTCAAGTTTCCAAACACACAAGGATTGGATATGATTTAAGGGTAGACCACCAAAGCATACTCTTTACACACCTCATTGCTCTCTTTGTTTGATCTGATTTGACTTTATTTAAATTTATTAAGATTTAATCGTATCTTATTCAAATTATACTCCGTATTTAGTTAATGATAATTTTATTATAAAAAGTCAAAACTAAATAACATAAATTTTACAAATGTCTTATATAGAGGATTTAAATATTTTAATCAATAGTTTTCAAAAAAAAATCAATCTATAAGGCATGGGGTCCAATAATAAGAGTTTACGTGGAAGTAAAAAAACCTTTAGGTATTTAGGCCCATATCTGACTCTAACAAAATTATAGAAATGGACAAAATAGAAGATTGTGCAGAGAAGAAAGGATATATTGCCTTGGAGGAATATCAATTCCAAATTCCTTGCTTCTTTCACCTATCAATCTATCATAGTGATGACATTGCATATCAATTCCAAATTAATTATTGTTCAATTTTGGCTGACAATTACAACCTTACTGGAAGAGGATCTTATCTATAGGGACAGAAAATTACTCGCGGGTGATGCGAGTTTTGTTGAAATAACTCTCAGGTCCTATTTTCAAAAAGACAACAGAGGTCCTTACGTTTTGTTGTAATGACTGAAAGGGGACATTTCATCCAATATTTCATCTATAAACATTAATAAATGTATTTTTTTTCCTATTTTTCCAATACCGTTTTTTTCCTATTTTGCCAATACCTTGTTTTTTCTTTTTTTAAAATTTTTTTATTTCATTTTTTTTAATATAATACAAATAATTTTGAATTTTTATACGATTTTATAGAAGAAATTCTAAAATAACACTTTAAAAAATAGTAACAAAATGAAAGAAAAACAAAGAAATAAAAAAAGGAACGACCTAAGATTTATTACCTTAAAACATTTAGAAAAGAATATGAAAAAATACATTTATTAACGTTTATAGACGAAATATTGGATGAAATGTCCCTTTTCAGTCATTACAATAAAATGTAAGGACCTCTGATGTCTTCTTGAAAATATAGAGACCTGAGAGTTATTTCAACAAAACTCGCGTCACCCGCGAGTAATTTTCTGCTATAGGGAAGTATCTATAAATCCTTTTCTTTAAAGAGGAAGAAAGTTTGGTTGACATATTGATCAACAATTTTAACTAAAATATCAACCAAAATTTAGGAGTGTAATTGGAGATTGGGGTAAAGGACAAAAAAGTCATGTTCTTTTAGATTTGAAGAATTAATTTCCAACTTTTTCCAATTTCTTTCATTTTCTTTCAATTCCTCCTCGTTTCCTCCAGCAACGACTTAAAAAAGGTACTTATATATGATATATATAATAACGTTATATATTTAAATTTATAACATATCAATTCAAATACGGACAAGGATGAATTTTCTTATCCAAAATTTAAGTTTTCTTTTTTATTTGGATGATCATTTAATTGAGTGGTTTTTTAACACTGTAATTCTTCCAGTATTATCTTAAACTTTTTTTAGTTTCTTTCAACTCCTTCTAGTTTCTTCCAACATCTAACTCTGAAATTCTAACTTAAAAGAATATGACCGATGTGTGATGTCGTGGAAGTTTTGCACCGAGTAAAAATTGTGCAGGATCAAACGAAATATGTTAAGGTGCTCAAATAGCCAGGGTGCCAAGACACCCAAATCTAACATAAATAAAACTCTATCCGTCCTAAAATTAACTTCTCTGTTTAATTTTTGTAGTGAAATTTTTTAAACTTTGACCGCATATTACGAGAAAAATACATTGAATTTTTAGATAATTTTTCATCAATATATTCATTTTAAGACATAATTTTTAAATATATCATTTTTATAATACAGAGTATAAATTTATATAAAAATAGGGACATTAATGATCCAAATGTGGGATGTCGTGAAAAATCAAATGAGAAAAATAATTTTAAGACGGAAGGAGTAACTTAATTAAGGGGGGTGTAATGCATAAGGAATTGTATTCATATTTTTAAAATCAATGACTTCTATTCATGTCAATGGACTTGTGTTGAAAGTCATAGACTTCTATTAATATTTTAAAAGTCATTGATTTTATATAAATAATTTCTATGGATTTTAACAAGTCTATGGACTTTTATTTGAATAATTTTATAGATTTCATTACCACCATCCAAGTATGTTCGTCCAGCATCATTTTTTGCACTCAAATAAGATTACTTTTAATTTTCAATTAAATAAATATTATATTTTTAAATTAATAACAAAATAAATTTTATATAAATGGAATAAGTATTTCGTATATCTACATACATACATACATACATCATACATACATACACACACACACACACACAGATATATATATATATATATATATATATATATATATATATATATAAACTAAAATAAATTTTTTAAAATATTTTTTACAAGACAATTTTAATTGTATTATTTTTAATACTAATTGATAATGTAAATTTAATTTAATTGATGATCAAAATTTATCAAATTTGAATTTAAAAATAAAATTTAACCGAGCACACAGGGTAAAAGTAAGTGTTGGATTATGGAATCCAAGAGTAGAGGAAGAAGGGGAAGAGTGTGAAGATTGAATGAAGAAGAAGATGAATAGTGTTGTGTTGTGTATTGAGCCTCCTTCCTCTACCCTTGGATTCCATAATCCAACAATGGTGCTCTCATTGAGAGCACCAATGTTGGGTTAAGAAACCCGGGGGCCTAGGAAACTAGGCGGAAGAGTATCGAACTAAGTCGACAGTGCACAAATTTGGGGTCAAGTAAATTAAGAGTATTATTGTGCTTGTTAGAACGTAAGTCCCCCTCCCTTTAGAATGGAAGGGGTTTATATGCAGATTACAACATAAGGTTCCGACCGTTGGTCCAGAGTCCACATCATTATCTCTACGATTGCTATACAAAGTAGGTTGCAAATAGGGTGGCTAGAGCAACCCTGCTAGAGGTATGGCATGGGTCCAATCGTGGGCCCCTTGATCTTGATTCTTTAGCCAGCTTCCTTGTCTCGATCCAGTCTGCTGACATTCCGGGCCGGGGACGAGCATGTGCTCTGTCTCTGGAAGTCCCTTGGTGGAAGGCCGGTCGGGGTGGTCCGAGGATGACTGACCCTACCGAGGCCGAGCGTGTACCGCTGCCGAGGCGGCCTTCCCTGGTCCTTTGTATATTCTTGCTTTTGGTTCGGCTTAGTGGGCCTTAGCGAAGTTGGGCTGGGCCGCTTTTCTGTTGGCCCGGATACCCCCATTCCCGAGTATCCATCAGTAAGTATGCTAATAAAATAGATAGAACATTGCATTGTATTAAATTTATCATCTCAATCAAATGTTGCAACAAAAATGAAAACAAATCTAGTTGTAAAACAATTAAAGTAACGGATTAACTATTTTCACTATCAGGTGTTGCCCACATATGATTTGCAAGATTCAATCTCCATTCATTAGCTTTCTCTCGTTGTTGATCTTGTGTCTGAGTATCATCCCATTCAAAACTCTCATCTGTTTCATTTGTTGTGTCTTCATCCGGAGCTGGAGGAAATTCATCTGAACGACACTCACATCGTAGAAAATTATGTAGTCCCGAACATGCTAAAACAAGTTCTGTTTGTGTAGTCTTGTATGAAAATGGTGGTGCTGTTTTGAATATTGTGAATCGTTACTTGAATACTCCAAATATTCGCTCAATTACATTTCTTAAGGAAGAATGTCGAAGATTGAACAACTCCCGTGCATTGGTAGGGTGATTTCCTACTCTGCCAAAATCTTTAAGATGATATCGAGTACCACGAAACGGTGTTAAAAACTGACACCGACTTGGAAAACCACAATCCCCCAAGTAATATTTGTTGAACAACTTATGCACCTCTAGAGGGGGGTGAATAGAGGTGTTCTTCAAAAATCAAAACTTTTGGAAGAATAAACAAAAATTCGCAGGAGTAAATCAACCACAAGACAAAGATGAAGAGAAGGAGCAACACACGATGTATCCTGGTTCGGCCTAATGCCTACATCCAGTCTCCGAAGCAAACGTGCCCGAGATTCCACTAACTTCGTCAAGCTTAACGGAGTTTGAAAATCCGATTACA